ATGTGAAGGATAGTGGTCCTCCAGGACCAGGACTGGACACCCCTGGTATAAAATGTGAAGGATAGTGGCCCTCCAGGACCAGGATTTGACACCCCTGGTCTAAAATGTGAAGGATAGTGGCCCTCCAGGACCAGGACTGGACACCTCTGGTCTAAAATGTGAAGGATAGTGGTCCTCCAGGACCAGGACTGGACACCTCTGGTCTAAATTGGTTTTGTTTGAAATTGAGTCCATCTGTTTTTAACTGGACCCGACACTCGGGTGAAACCAGTTCTCAGGTAACCCTGAGGGTGTAACTGGGACCCTGTGTGCACAGTTTCATTCCACCTCATGTCCCACGTGATTAACCTGTCTAAATAAAGGTTGAACGAATGAAAGAACACGTGATGAGACAATAAAGAGCCTGGACTTCTAGTTTTACTTCCACTGTGTATACGTACAGGAAACATGCTGGGAAACCGTGTGCACGGTCAGGAGACCAGAATCCAGCAGGTCTTTCAGGCTCATCCAGGTGTTCTCGTGCAGCTCTGACTGAAGAGAATTTAATTTGAGTTTTCTCTTCATGTCATGAGGTGAGGTCAGAGTGGTCTGAGCGCTCTAGATGACTGCATTCAATTTCCTCTTTTCATCCAAGCTGCCGTCCTTCTAAGAAAGGTTTATAAAGTGATTGAGTTGGATCCCCCCTCCACCCCCCGATGCATCACAGGTCAGAGCCGTGTTCGTCTGCTGGAAGGCTCCTCGCAGCGTTTGAACCGTTTCAATCTGCCACAGAGACGAGAAAGATGGAACAAACAAACGCAGGAATGATTCCACATGAAACTGTTTCCACCGTCCTCAATAATGTCTTTTCATTTAAACCCTAATCAGAATTTATCTGCGCTCCGCCGGCGCCTCGGTCTCTCTCTTCCCACTCGTACTTAACGGCAGCAGGATATGAGAAATGCAATGTCTAGTTTCATCCTTGGCTCTGCTGAAAGGTGTTCGTCATCAGCCGGCGGATCACTCGGTGCACCTAAGACCGCCTGCCGCGGTTAGAGGAACAGGTTCAGACGAGAACGCGGGGGCTGTTTGACGGAAGCGCAACACGTCTTTGCAAAGGTACAAAAAAATAAGTGGTGAGAAAGTTGACGTCTATAAACGGTTGGAGGACGAAACTCTGAAGCTGCCGTCTTCTTCAAACTTAAACCTTTATTTTACCAGGAAGACGTCCACGGACATTATTACTCTCTTTTACGAGGATGTCCAGGGCTCAGACTCGTCTACGAAACACTAGGCCTGTCGCGATAAACAATAAATCAATTAATCGCATGATAAATGAAAATTATCAACCTCATTTTCATTTATCGGCTTTGTCATTTATTTGTGTCTCTCTTTCTACTGAAGACACTGGAGGACAAAAGACTCAACTCCGGTTCTTCACTGACCCCGCCCTTTCTCTTTTCTCTTTAAAATCCATTTAACGATCCAAAATCAGTTGTTTGGATCGTTAAAAGCAGCTAAGCTGAGAAGCTAAGCTACGAGCTAAGCTAACAAACCGGCCTCGGGACAAAACCTCCGTCTTGTCGAAGCTTCAAAATTCACGGTTGAAACCCGTGCCTTCGTGTAAAAAGTTGTTTTTCTCTACAAAAAGAAGCTGAGAACTTGTTTACTGATTTTTTTATTAAAAGTTTTGTGTGAAAAATGCTAAAGAGCTCAAACCACACGGTGCGTCCACCATTTTGAGAACCGAAGAGAGACAGCCCATGTCACGTCAAGGGGCCTCCCTCCCTTTTTTTTTTTTCCATTTTTGTGGCTCTAGTGGCCTATTTTTGTTGTAGAGGGTGGGGGGCAAAACGAGGTGAGAGAGAGGGGGAGACATTGCGGAAGGGTCATCGGGACAGGGACTCGTACCCACGACCACCGCTATGAGAACTAGCTTCGAACATGGGCCGCACTCTTAACCCCTGCGTCATAGCTGTGGCCCTCCCTCCCATTTTTCTTAGAGACACGCTGCTTGCTCCCTCACTATCCATCCTTCGGTTCAAACAGCCTTATACTGCCATCCAGTGGTCATTAAAAGGTACTACACTCAAAAATTAACCAACATTTCTTCTTAAATTTGACAATAATTAATAATTATTGTCAAATTTCAAACAATATTATTGTTTATCGCAATAATTTTTGAGACAATTGATCGCCCAGTGGTGGCACAGAGGTTAGAGAAGGTGGGCCTGTGATTGGAAGATCGCCAGTTCAAGCCGCGGTACTGACAACATCAAACAAAAAAATGTGGGTGGGGTAGGTGAAGCACCCACAACTGCCCCCACCCTCATTCGTCCCACTCTGGGCCTTTGAGCAAGGCCCTTAACCCCCACCTTCTGCTCCCTTGGGCGCCCTACATGGCAGCTCTCTGCTCCACACAGAGGGCTGAGGTAGCTCGGTGGTCTGCGGTTGCGTCAGAAAAGGCATCCGGCGTAAAAATAACTGCAGAGTCTTCGTGCGACTTAGTTCGCTGTGGCGACCCCTAAAAAAGGGAGCAGCCAAAAGAAGAAAGAAGATTATCGTTTATCGCAATAATTTCTGAGACAATTAATCGCCCAGCAAATTTTGTTATCGTGACAGGCCTACGTCTATAAACTGTTGACGATGATGCGAGGACGAAACTCTGAAGCTGCCGTCTTCAAACTCGTCTTTTATTATTCTTAAACCTTCATTTTACCAGGAAGAAATCCACGGAGATTATTAGTCTCTCTTACGAGGACATCCAGGGCTCAGGCTCGTCTACGAAACAAATGAACGTCGATCCCGTTTCTTTTTAAAACGCCACGACTCCGACCTCTGACCCGGGTTTGGGACGGACTCGGGCGCCGTGGAGTTGTGTTAGTCCAGTGATTAAGACAAAAACAATTTTACGTTTATCAGGCGAGGTGATTCACCAGCAGTCCGTTGGGGAAGTCTCGTGAGGGATGGGGCGGCGGTATAAAAGACGAAACACGTAAAACGACACAACCCGTTCTCTTCAGGTACGAGCCGCCGGACGGTCATATTCTTCAACACGACGTTAACGTTCTGCGCTCTCACTCCCTGCGTGACATTCAGGTGACCATTGCAGATGTTTTTTATGCTTCTTCCCACAGTTGCTCGTTCGGTTGTAGCTCTGTTCAGATGAAGGTTATCAATGGATGACTCCATGTCCAAGTCTCTGGGATGCGTTGCACGATGAATAATTTATTATTCTAGTCTGAGCTGATCGTTTCGTTTAAAGCTGATGTGTTGAAGCACCTCGGCTGAACGAGTCCTTTATATTTTAGTGACGCCTACATCGGATAAAGTTTCTGTGGCAGCGTTCCAGGTCAGGAACGATCACAGTAAAACTAGAGTCTTATTGGAGGTTCATCATCATTGAGCTTGAAATGCATTGAAAACGATAACGCAGTGGTTGTCCACATCATGAACGTTGGTTCGTTGGCGTACAGCCATGATCATGACGCGAACCTTCAAATAAATCTTAAATGTTGGGTACCCCCCCTTTCAGTTCCCAGTTGGGCGGTGTTCACAGGCTGCAATGTTTTTTAGCTAGCATAAAGAGCTAATGCTTCGTCTTTGTGTCTCCACAGGAGCTTCTACTACATATCGATGCTACGTGACCCGGTGTCACGATACCTCAGTGAGTGGAAGCACGTGCAGCGCGGCGCTACGTGGAAAACCGCCCTCCATATGTGTGACGGCCGGCCTCCGACGCAGGACGAGCTTCCTGCCTGCTACAGCGGGGACGACTGGACGGGCGTGTTGCTCGCAGACTTCATGAACTGCCCCTCAAACCTGGCGAACAACCGGCAGGTACGCATGCTGGCCGACCTCAGCCTGGTGGGCTGCTACAACATGTCGTCCATGAGCGAGCTGGAGCGAGGCCGCGTGCTCCTCGCCAGCGCCAAGGCCAACCTGCGCAACATGGCCTTCTTCGGCCTGACGGAGTTCCAGCGCAAGACGCAGTACCTGTTCGAGAGGACGTTCGGCCTGCGCTTCATCCGGGCCTTCACCCAGATCAACAGCACGCGCGCCGCCAGCGTGGGGATCAGCGAGAAGGTGCGGTGGCGCATCGAGGGCCTCAACGCCCTCGACGTGGAGTTGTACGAGTACGCCAAGGAGCTGTTCCTGCGGCGCTACCAGTACAACCGCCAGAAACAGCACCAGGAGGAGCGTATGCGGCGGCGGCAGGAGAGGCTGCAGAGGCACAGGAACTATCTGGTTGGACTGTGGAGACTGGGAGGAGGAGGCATGGAGGAGGAGGAGCAGGAGGTGAAGGAGCTGGAAGAGGTGGTGACCACAGAGGATTATAGCAGCCAGGTGGTGCGGTGGTGAGAGCGCCGTGGCATTGACTGATTTGTTGCCTCCCTCCGTTTCCTGTCTCACCTCCGCAGTCGGCACCTCCTGCCTGCTCCTTGTTGGACCGCCGACAGGTGTCTTAACCGTACGATGGATGTATTTGAACATTTTGTATTTATGTTTGTTCTCTTGTTACTTTTGGCTCTGCCGTTGTGAGTACCAGTTATTTATTCATTAGCAAGAGCTTCGAATGTCCTCAAAGAAGTGTTGCGCAAGTTCCTATAAATAAAGAAAGGAGTCCAGGAGTCTTCAACGTGATGTTTGTGATCTGTCATCGTGTCGTGACTCCGCGGTGTTCGGCTTCATCGTGGCGTCGAAGCGTCTTCCTCCTGGCCGAGGCAATTTCTCACAGGAAACGTGTTCAGCGAGAACCTGCGGCGTGAGTTTACGAACAGCCGCTCTGACGAGTTTCTGCCGGAGTGTCAGGGGTCGCTCGCTCTTCCATCAGCGCCGCACAACGTTGGACCACGGGGGCATTGATCACCCGGCTCTTTGCTTCTCAAACGATCATTTAAACTTCAATAGGCCGTGACTCCGCCGCAGAAGAAAATACAAGCTGAAGGCTTTTTTCTGCTTTATTTAGAGCCGAACAGCCGTACGGTAGAAAAACAATCAGGTTGAACAAATTCCCACAGACAGCAAACCTTTCAACGCTGGGAGCGCCGGTGATTGCCTCATATTAATATCGTCGTCGTGGAGTCGGCCTGACAGCTCCGTGATTCGCTCCGGACAAACATCCACAGACTCTAATAGCTTTTCCATTCCGGCTGTCGACTCGCACAGCGTGCACAAGAGAAACGTTTTATAAATCCACGAGGACAAGTCGGGTGTTACCGCCGGCTCGGAGAACCGAGACGCAAATAAAAGCTTCGTCTGGGAAATTTGTTCCGTTTTATGACAATAAAGTGAAGTTTTCTTCCCCAAAACATCAAATGTAACATTTTAGGAGGCTCTCTAAACATCTGGACCTTTTCTTGTTGTTTCTGGGCAGCTTTAAAGGAGTTCGTGCCCCGACTTTATTATTCACGTTGAATGTAACTCCGGTAAAGACCGGAGAGGTGCACAAAGTGGTTTTATACCAAAACAAACTACAACAAATCACCGTCTTTTTAATATTTTAGCTTGCACGTTAAATACTGTGAACTGAGAGAATATGATTAAAATAGAGCTAACATGTTTTTATTTAAATCCTGATTTAGAGAAAAGTAAAGGTGAACAGATGTCCGAGGTTAAACGTCTACCAAACATTTCTTTAAGTAGGTTTTTATTGGTTTATAATTTTATTCATTGACATGATTTTAACACAGAGTTAAAACCGTGACACTCGAAGAACATCCAAATAAATGACAAATCAAACTACCGGACCAGAACATTTTAAATCATTGTTTACTAACCCTGCTGCTGCCCTAGGATCAAACTGAGCCACAGAGCCTTCGTTTAACCCAAGGGCAGCAGGAGGGTTACACGTCAGGTTTTAGGGTTGATGACGGATCTAAAATAAATAAATTATGGTTGTAGTTTATATAAACTCACTGTTGGCATGTTTTTGTTTGTTTTATAACCTGGGCCTCACAGCAACATTATTATTAACAGTTTTATTAACATCATTGGGGGTAGAGACGGTGGGCCTGTGATCGGAAGATCGCCAGTTCAAGCCCCGGTACCAACAACATCAAAAATGTGGGTGGGGTAGGTGAAGCACCCACAACTGCCCCCACCCTCATTTGCCCCACCCTGGGCCCATGAGCAAGGCCCTTAACCCCCATCAGGTCTTTTGAAAATGAGTTCTCGTGGCTCAGTGAGACTACCTGTATAAATAAAGGGTAAATGAAAAAAAAAATCATTAACAGTATTATTAACATTAATGATTAACATTATTATCAACAGTATTATTAACATTAGTATTAACAGTTTTATTAACAGTATTACTAACAATATTAACATTAGTGTTAACAGTTTTATTAACATCATTAACAATAATATTAACATTATTATTAACAGCATTAGTATTAACATCATTAACAGTATTTTAACAATTTAATAGTATTAACATTATTATTAACAATAGTATTGAGTGTATTATTAACATTATTATGTATTATTCAGAATAATATTAACATTATTAACAGAATTATTAATACCATTAACAGTATTAACATTATTATAATAAACTTATTAATATCATTAACAGTATTATGGTATTAACACTAAACATTATTAACAGTATATTTACAATATTATTAACATTATTATTAAGAATATTATTAACATTAACAGTATTGTTAATATTAACAGTATTATTACCATTATTATAATAACAGTATTATTAACAATATTGTTAACATTATCAACATTATTATTAATAACATTATTATTAACTGTATATTTAATATTATTAACAGTAATATTAATATTAACAGTATTGGTAACATTATTAATAGTATTATTAACATTATTGTTGTTAACGATATTATTAGCAGTATATTTAATATTATTAACTGTATTGTCAACAGTATTATTAACATTATTAACAGTAATATTAAAATTATTAATTATTAACAGTATTGTTAACATTATCAGCAGTAATATTAATAACATTATTATTAACATTAATACTAACAATATTAACAGTTTTATTGATATTATGTACAGTATAATTAACATTATAATTAACATTATTCAAACGGATAATTAAATCTTGTATGTAAAGTTATAAACGGTCTTCCTCTGTAAAAAAAGCGCACCTGTTTTTCCAGACCTGACGATTTATTAGCGCATCAAACGTCCTTCAGTTTTCTCAAGTTAAACAGGTTTTTATCTGAAGAAGGCGTTTTAACGAGGGGACGAGATGATCGGGACGTTTCTTCGTTATATTTACTGCTCAAACCAACTCCACCTGTCGTTTAACAGACGTCAAAATATTTCTAGATCTCAGAAGAAAAACGTATTGCTTCATTATCTCAAGATAATCCAATAAGAAAGTTTTAATCTGCAGATTACATCATGAAAAGTAAAATGTCTCGGCTTCTGTAATTAGGAGAAATTATTTCCTAACTTGAACTAAACATCTGTTATGTTGTAATATTTAGCTCATCTGGATTATGACTCATCTCATATTACCATCATAAATGTAATAGAATTAACAATTATAACTCAGGATCTCATTAATATGAGAATATCTCATAACTTATTTAGCATCTGGTGAATACAAATTATCAATTTATCATTATCAGAACATTTCACAACTTTAACTTGGTATCATTATTGCTGGTTAAGAAAAGCTACATTTATGAGAAACACAATTATATTTCTTTATCATTAGGTACTACATGGTAAACATGAGATAATGAGTTAAATTAATGAGAACCTAATATGAAATACTATTCTAAGGGGTCAAAATGAGATAAATGCAGAACTCCAGATGATAATCATCAGATGCTTTTTATTACTTTTGTGGTAGTTTTAGAGATTACGCAACAATGGGATTTAAACCACAGTAATAAGATACAAATATATGAGATGCCCTCATATTTATAAGATAACCGCTATTAATGAGACATTTTTACCATTTTATGAGAAACGGGACGTATTTTTGAGGTTAGACGCACGTGTCAAACTCAAGGCCAAATGTGGCCCTCGAAGACATCTGGCCCCCAAGATGTTCTGTGAAATGTCAAATACTTCACTCTAAAATTTTTTCAGTAATCTTTGATGATGATGTCGTAAGTGCAACAGAGAACATCAAATGAGACCAATCAAACTCTTGTTGAGGAAACTGTGACCAAGAAAATATGTTGGGTATCTTGATTTGAGTTAATGTAGTTTCTGAAATCGGCCCTTAGTTTGAAAAAGGTCTTTAATATTGGCCCCCTTTAGTAAGTGAGTTTGACACCCCTGGGTTAGAGGGTCAGTGTTTCTACATTACAGTGCCAGAAATAGGTTTAAATATGCAAAGTACATATAAAAGTGCTGAACTGAAGACCTCGTTGAAGAGCAGGTCTACTGTCTCTGGGTTGTGGTCATGAAGTTGTCCGTGAAGACAGTCGGGTGTTGTCACGCCGCAGGTGAGTCCCGGCCTGCCTTGGTGCTGATGGACAGGTTCAGCAGCGACCGGGCTTTGCTGACCCAGTGTTCACACTGAAAAGAGCCCAGGAAGGCCCTCCAGAACCGATCACCGGAGAGCGTGAACAGAGCCAGGTTAAAGACCGTGTTGAGGCCAGCCAGGGGCCGAGAGACAATGTAGGCCGCCTGCACGGTGTTCATCATGCACGGTGTCGGCGAAGAGCTTCGGGTTTCTATCCACAGCACACGCAGGACGTGGTAAGGTAGGAAGCATGTGACGAAGACTACCAGGATGAGTACCGTCACGCGCCGCGCTCGCATCCGGCAGGTGCTGCTGGGGTCGGGCCCTTTGGTCAACTGTTTGACAATACCAACGTAACAACTCAACACCACCGCAAGAGGCAGCCCAAAACCAAGAGCCGTAAGCACCCAGCCGTACTGCCGAACGTCGCCGACCGGTCTGGTGCTCGCAAAGTCCAAGCATCGCGTGTCGTTGTCCTCGCGGTGCAAGGATATCAGGGTCAGCATCGGAGTGATTTCAGCAGCAGCCACGACCCAGATGACCGAGCATGCCGCGACTCCCCAGATCCTCTGCTGCAGCCGTACGCCCCTCAGCGGCCAGACCACCGCCACATAACGAAAAACCGCCATACAGGACAGGAAGAGGATGCTGGCATAAAGGTGGAAATGGAACGCAAAGCGCACGAAGCGGCACGTGAAGTCTCCGAGCGCCCACAAGCCCCCGCTGCTGTAGTAGTAGACCAAGAAGGGCATGGTGAGGACGTAGAGGAGATCCGTCAGCGCCAGGTTGACCATGATGATGCTGCTGCTCTTCCAGGGGCGCAGCTTCGTCACATAGATGCCGATGGAGGTGGTGTTTCCCAGCAGGCCCACGATGAAGATGATGCCGTAGGAGACAGGTAGGTAGTAACGATTCAACGGCCCCTCCACGCTGGCACAGCTGGTGTTGACGCTAGCCATGGAGACCCTGTCGGAACCAGAACCAATGAAATGTTTCTGTTACTACATCAGAACTGCTGTGTTTGATTAAACTCTTATTCTGAAAACTGTAAAACAACAGTGCCACTTTGTAGAATGAGATTCTAACGGATTTACACTAAAAGGTAAATTACTGGAGAAAACGTTTGGATTCATACAGAAGCAGCTTTTTTTTTTTTTTTTTTTTAAAGACAAACGTTGCATTTAAAACAGACCAGTCAGTCCAAAAACACTGGGTCCAGACTTTCAAAAACCTGCTGTGTCAAAACGTTAGAGAGGAAAAACTGAACCAAAAAGATCCACCGGAAACAGAAAGTCCCATTTAGTTTTTACACATCTGCTGTCTGCCATAGACTCGTAGAAACATCGCCACGTTTTACCGGAACCAACGAGGAACACGAAAACGACCGCGGCTTAAGAGTTTAGGAAATAACTTTGAAGTGAAAGTTTTTACAGTTTTTATCAAACACTGCACTTCGCAAACTCATTTAAAACTTTAAAACTAAATATGCCCCATTAACACGGTTCTGGTTTTATATCAACTGATTTTTTTTGTTTCCAGTTATAGTTTCTCCTCCGTCAGCACAACACGGTGTCTCAGAGGCTAGCGCTGTTGCACTTTTTACCGGAGACTCCGGTTTTTAAAACAAGGCTGCTTTCTGGCCCAAGCCTCCGTGGAAAAGAGATCTGCAGTCTCAGTGGGCTTTGCCTGGTTAAATAAAAGTTAAATAACAAAAGTGCTAACGTTACCACACGTCACCAGCAAGTGGCGATAACGTAACGTTACCACACGTCACCAGCAGGTGGCGATAACGTAACATTACCGCACGTCACCAGCAGGTGGCGATAACGTAACATTACTAGACTTCACCAGCAGGTGGCGATAACGTAACGTTACCGCACGTCACCAGCAGGTGGCGATAACGTAACATTACTAGACTTCACCAGCAGGTGGCGATAACGTAACGTTACCACACGTCACCAGCAGGTGGCGATAACGTAACGTTACTAGACTTCACAGCAAGTGGCGATAACGTAACATTACTAGACTCCACCAGCAGGTGGCGATAACGTAACGTTACCACACGTCACCAGCAGGTAGCGATAACGTAACGTTACCACACGTCACCAGCAGGTGGCGATAACGTAACGTTACCACACGTCACCAGCAGGTGGCGATAACGTAACGTTACCACATGTCACCAGCAGGAGGCGATAACGTAACATTACCACACGTCACCAGCAGGTGGAGATAACGTAACATTACCACACGTCACCAGCAGGTGGCGATAACGTAA